ATTGCACATTCCTCAGTTGTGGCCAAGGATCAGTGCCAAGATCTATTTAATGAATCAGGGGAATTGGCTGAAGGGGAGAAGATAAAGCCAAATAAAACAAAAGGGCTCAAACCAAATATTTTGAAATAGTCAACAAGGCATCAAACAGAAGAATGCTGATGGTCAATCAAGTCTTGCTTACCCTTCTCAGGTGAGAAAATTGTCAGTGTACTGGGGGCCAAAGCCCCCTTCCACTAATGCCTATGGCACAGCTTACAAAAACTGAACCGGAACTAGCATTGTAAGGCATAAATATCTTTCTGAACATCCACCTCACACAAACTCTTAGAAAGTTAAAGGGAAAAAACCCCCAAACTAGGAACAGCAATCCTCATATTACCAATCTTAAAATTCAAGACAAGACCAACCTAATGTACCACAACAGCATCATTTCCAATGCTGGGCAGCACAGGAGGCAGCAGCTCACCCTAGCTACTTGGTCTGTTCGTACTCCTTTGTGGCCAGACCTCAGCATTCAGATCTTCCACAAAATTTTTCCCAGCATTAAAATCACCACAACAACAAAATATTTTAGTATCACTCCCCTCTTTTATATATCACGGTCACCAAAGAATAACTTTTTGATTTACCCTTCTCTCATCACATGCAACATTTCCTCCTCCACACAAAAACCAAAAACCTCCCCAACAGTGGATGGTCAGACCTTTCTAAAATAATAAATAGCATAAACAAAAACTTGTATAGTGTAGAGCTCAGTATTTACTAAAATACTAAAGTCTGCACCATGCTATTTGGGCCAAGTCCAAGATAATTTCACCTAAAGCGATTCTGTCTGCAGGATTTGAAGCAAAAATTGCTAAATTTCAGGGAGCTACCAAGAGATGCTCTGAAAGAAGAAATATTTACTGCATTTTAAATAAGCTGGTTTTTTCCACCTAGCAATAAAACTTAGAAGAACACTACTAAAAGCATTAGTTCATAAATAAAAACAATAAAGTCTTATTGAATCCAATTAGGAGAAAAGTCTCATCCTATTTCAATACAACCACAGAACTCTCTTCAACAAGATGTTCACTCAATTGGAAGAAATCTAGATTCCATGCTGGTTTGTTTCTATAAATTTACCTTTGGCTTCCGACAAACAATAAATTTGACTTAAGAAACAACAACACATCAGTCACTGTTCTCCTATGCACTTTATTAAGCAGGGAACAAATCCTACAGCAGGGAGCTGATAATATGAGATTTTTTTTCTCCCACTGTGTATCTAGGTATTAAAATCTGGTTGCATATTTTTCAGGCTCATTCCTCTTTTAATAAACATTTACTAGTAGCCTTTCACCACTTTCTTTGATGCTAAAATCACTTTAAAATGTCAAAGGCCCAGACAGTGAAGTGGAAAAATAATTATCTGAATGCAGTCAGCCACTGTATCTTCTTAGTATAATATTAATGGGAAGAAATGGAAAATTGTCACTGAATTTTAATGAATTCATTAGTTAATTATTGTAAAGCCCCATGGAAGTGCCAAGAATGATTATTACCTTTATTCCCAAGAAATTTTTTATAATGGCAGAGATGGACCTCCCACAATGACTTTTTTCTAGGTTCAAAATACATGACTGGTGCAAAATGACATTAATTTTTTTCATAATTTGAGTATAGACTTACCAGAGTGAGATACTGACATAAAAGAAGTAGCTTTTTACTTTATTAATTGGTTCATTTAACTCCGTAGGGTTAGCTGTACTATAGAGTGCTGATCAACAGGAACACGGATGGTAAGTTAGTCAAAATGTGTACTGCATTTGCAGCACACTGAGCCCTAACATAAATTAACAGAACACTCTCAGAAGATTAACTGAAGCAGAAATACCCTTCTGCCAGGCTGAATTTGGCCCACTATCCTTAATTCTGTTGAATTTATTAAGATAAACATGTCTTTTCATTTCCTGACTGTAGATAAGGCTGACAAAAAATTCTGGAATCCGTCACCAATTTTAAGACCTAACCATTCAGACAGCCAAGGAAATGGAAAAGAGAAGCTTTTCTCATTAAGTAATGTCTAAGGGAAAGTTTAAATCTGTATTCCAGTAAAACATCTTGGTATTTGTTGCTGCAGGACCCAAGCATGCAACAATGCATTGTGCATTTTAAAAGCTATCTCACAGAAAGAGATGTGTATGTTCACAGAAAACAGAACTTTTTTTTTTCCTGTAAATGCTGACAGATGAAACTTTGGCAGAGAAATTCTCTGACATTCAGAAATGTTTGTCACAGAATCTCTTTTTTTCTTTTCCATTCTAATAATCTCTTGTTCCAAGTTGCAGTACTAGCATCCACTATTTTAAGTTAGTGATGATTCAGATGTTGCTTACACTGACTTTTCTAAAGATTCATTCATCAATTGACTTGGTTTGTTTACATAAATTGTCCTTCTGTTTAATTTTCCATAATATGCAACAGGACAATTATGTGAGCAGCTCTTCAAAATCAGATGGATTAATATACTGGTATTGGGAATTTGTTGTCTGCATGTAATAGCTGTGTAACAGGACCACAACCTTTTAGGCTGTTTTTTAGATTTTGAGACAGGTTAATACAGAGGAAGACAAATCTGCAATATCTATGGCTTCAGTGGCTTCCATTGTAGAAGGAAAACCCATCCTCTGAACTGTCATATTGATTTTAACTGATTCACATAAAGTGACAGTGACCTCTATGCATGATGGTTGAAATCCCGACTCCTAAAGTCAAAGACAGAACTTCCTTTGAGCTCTCCCTTTTCCTTTCATCTTTATTCTGCCAAGTCTGGTGCCTAACAAAGTTCATTAAACTTCTTAAAGTGCCAAAACTGGAAAATATAGAACTGACAACCAAGGCTGAAACTGAGAAACAATTACATGAAAGTTGCACCTTTTTCATCTCCCATATTTTTTATACTTCCAACTTGATCAAGAGAAACCTCTAGCACGTTGCTCCCTCCTGCCCAGATACCACTGGCACATTTCCTAAAGGTGTCACCAGCAGCACAGGTCTGTATAGATCCAAACCACAAACACCATCGCCACAGGGAATAATCCTCCAAAATAATAGTTTCCTCACCAAGGTTGTGAATTTAAATATAAAGGCAAGCTTCAAAATGCTTTATTCCTCATGGCCTCTTCTTCTTCTCCTTCTTAAAAAAAAAAAAAAGAAATAAAAATAAAGAAGCTAAACTGCAGATGTTTCCTAGGCAAACCAGGACTACCACAGACCTCAAAAAAAATTGAAGAAAAAAATTCAAAAACCCTTATAAATTAACTCCTGTGCCTTCCAGACTTTCTTCTGTTCATTGCAGTCAGGTTCAAGAAGGACTCCCCATTTCAGAGAAATTGTATTCATAATCTCCAAAATACTTGCCTTAGCAGGTTACTTTTGAAATCTGAGAAACCGAGTGAACAAGGTTCTGAAGTACAATTTCCTGCTGTTTCTGAAGCAGGTAAATCTCCTCAGAACTTTAGGGGAAAAAAAAAACCCAAAACACACAAAAAACCCCCTTCTTACTGCTGACAGCCTTCACAGGGGATAACTCGAGACTTTAACCAGAAATCAGAAATGAACACCAGCTTCCAATGAGGGCAATTTACATATAAATTTGTATAAGAATATATTATATTTAACTACATAAATGAGGATGTCATTTACACCTGAAGACCGTTTCATACTTGTAAAGTACTACTTCTGTGTGTTCCAATAAATTTTCTTTGCAAATTAAGAGAGGTAGACTGAAAAAGTAATATAGATTCACAATGATCTTGGGTCTAAATTTAAACACTAAGTTAAAGTAAAAATTTAAGACAAATGAATAGCAGGACACTTGCACTAGTTATGTAAGTCAGTAGAAATTTCAAGTGCTTGAAATACAGTCACTAATTATAGAAATTAATACAATAGTCAAACATCAGTAAACATTTACTCTATGAAGAATAAAACATTGGTGTGGTAGTCATATGAACATTGTTATTAGTGCCAGGGCTGATAAACGGAGGGAACAGCTACCAATTAATAAGTCACATGCACTTCCCCCGATTAATTTCTTTCCACATTAATGAAAATCTTTATTTCAGAAAAACAACACATGGAAATTACCTATTTGTCTTAAGACCAAGACTTGGCAAAATTAACACACAAAACTCATGTGAATAGCTAGAAAGAAAATAATGGTTACAGTCCTTAGGCAAGGTTTATACTAGTTTCTGTAAGCCCTAGATACTAGAAATTCAAAGAAAAAAATGTATACTGTAAGTAACAACTACACTACAATTCTACACTATCTATACTATAAATAAGACAAACAGAACGAGGTTCATGCCTCTTTCTTATCATGACAAAAGGCATTAGCAAGAAAAGTGACAAAACCACTGTAATGAGCAAAGACCTCTGGAGAGTGCAAGAAGGAAACAGGTGGGAAACACGTGCTGTGTATTTTCTGAAATCCTTTCTACAGGATATTTGTTCCTAAGGAGCATTGCATGCAAAAAGGATCATTTGTTTCACAGGAGTACCTTTGATCTTGCTGATTACACCTCAGTCATTATTTATCCTACACACCTTTTTTGGAATGGATTGTCTAGAGAAACCAACGCAGCTGACAGCTCTGCCCCAAAGCACAGAAGCTGCAGTCCTCTCTCTTGTATTCTTGTTTTGATTAATCTACCTCATTTATGAAAAATTCAAATTACTAATTCCTTCTTATAGCATCTTTCACATCTGTTCTCTGCACTGCAGGTAGGGCAGGACATATTCTACACATCCATGCCTTCTGTTCAAGTATGCACACTTTTTTTTTTATTTCCTCAAGTATAAGTACAAGGAAGCTAAACCTACACACAAGATCAAAGCTCTGGCATTCTCCATTGCTGCAACCCCCTATGAGAGCAAATCTAATTATTATATACACTAATCTCTGTAGTAATAAGTCTAAAGAAGCTTTCAGACAGAGCCAGCCTTAATCTTACCTGTCCTGTATCCTGTGTTGTTGAGGTACACTGCAAATGTACGTATTTCATGCTGAGCCTGCCAGGATGGAGAAGAACAGTTCTCATTGTTAGTGTAGGTGTTGTGGTTGTGGACGTACTTCCCCGTGAGAATGGAAGAGCGAGATGGGCAGCACATGGGAGTTGTCACAAAGGCATTGATGAAATGAGCACCTCCATGTTCCATGATCCGCCTTGTTTTATTCATCACTTGCATAGAACCTGGAAGAATAAAATAATCTCAGAATTATTTTCATGTTTCAGTCACAAGAGAAAAGAACTTGTGTAATACACCAGAGCCCAGAATGAAGCACAGCTAGTTAAGGCCACTATAGTCTCATAATGAATCCCAATCCAAAGAGATTAGTCTCCCCCCTGTAGTGAAGTTCCCCAATTGCTTTATGAAGGACCAAATACTAAAAGTCCTAAGCCCAAGATTTTACTCAAACTTGTTGACATAGATAATAATGCTTTTTTAATTTCTCCCTAAGCCCAAGATTTAGCACTGTAACTATCTGCACCATCTGTGCAGCCTTTCTGGAGCCACTAGTACTATTCCAGTAGCTGAAGGCAAGAATCAGCATGAATTGGGCTGAGACAATGTGGCCTAAGGGTGAAATTCACTTTGTGCAGCAACCCTGACCAAAGTTTGCATACCCTGTGAGCATTATTTAATCCTTTCAGGAGATACCTGATGTGCTGCCTTTTGTGCCAATCTTCTGCAAAAGGCTGAAGGCTGTAATCAAAAAAACACTGAGGTTTGAAGGGACACCTGAAGATTTAGTCCGACCCCCTGCTCAAGCAGGGTCTGCTAGAGTTGTTCTCTAGATAGCATGTTCTTTTCCCTAATGTGAGGTATTAGCAGGTATTGATTTCCATAATTTTCACTGAAGACAAAGTAATGCCCTCATAATAATTTCCATAACCAGCCCACTGAGCTCTATCTATATACTTGTTCCATTTTGATAATACTGTTCCCTAAAATTACCTAAATTGTCTTAGGTTTGGTTTGGCAGAATCAGATTTTTTGATGACTACTTGGGACAGATCACAGCATGTAGTTTATAATGATCATCTAAAAACAAACATGTAAGTTTTGCCAGCAGGAAGTTGGATAAACTGGGGTAATGGGAGTGTCTTTTTGCCAAAAATTACTGAAAAATACATTACTTCAAGTGGCTGTTCTGCTTGCTGTTTAAGGTAAGGCTTTGGACAAAGACTGGATCTTCACCACAGACATTCACCTAGCTAAATCTGAATCTATACCAGGCATCTATTGGTGCCTGATAGTTTAAACTGCAGCAGAACGGCTTATACTTGGTCTAGGAAGAGCTGCCATTTTCCAAAGAACTTGTAATGGTTACTGTACCAGCATGACCTTGCAAAGGAGAGTAAGCCTTTCCATCACCAACCCTTGCTTCTTGTTATGAGCAGGCAAAGTCAATAGGCAACATGGAGATGAAGGTATACACTCATGCTGGAGTAGGGTTGGGGCTAACTTACCCAAAGTTGACTTGGATTAATAGTTCAGCTTTAATCAATGCATCTTAAAATCATCTGGCACAAACTGCATGTTTTTTTCTGTCAATGAGTTTGTTTATTCTAAGCTCTTTAGGCAGAAATTTCATTATGAACTTGCAACAGATTTGATACAGGGCATATTGATATAACCAGGAGTCAAAACCTAGAGGGAAAACCTCGTAAGGCACATATGAAATCTGACTCTCTGGCACCACGAAGGAAGGCTAATTGCTACTGTAGGTAATTTCACCTAAGACCTGTTAGTATTAGATTTCTTGAGGTAACTTTGTTGGAACAAATACAAAAAAAAATAATTAAAATCTGCTTGTGCATTTCTCAGGTGGTCAGAGTACACCTCTGTCCCATCACTGAGAGAAGAACCAAGGCAGGTTATTGCGCTCCTTCATTAAATCTTTCCAAACTTCACATATCAAAAAGAAGCTTCTGAGGAAAGCAAGAGGCTTTGTTTCTGTAACTCTGGAATAAGTGTTAGTTCTCAAAGATACTAACAACACAGTCAACAATTTAAAGTCAGTTATACATTATGTGAGCCTGAAAACTGTGAATATGTCCTTTGTCGTCTTATCAGTTATCCCAAGCATAAACAGGCAGAAGAATGTTTTGTCATCCCAATATTAAAAAACAATTTAACAACCCCTTTAAATGACAGAGGCATCTGTGCATAAATAACAGTACATGTTAAGACTCCCCTTGAGGACAGTAACCTCCTTTAATAAAACTGCTGTAATGACAAGGCTCTATATATCAGCCATCTTTAATACAAAAACATATGATCTAATCTGCTTCCCCAGCTTGAGAACTAACACAGAGTGACAGATCAGTGGAAGGTAAAAATCCAGCATACTCTTCTGTAGAGTCTTAAATAGGCCAGCTTTAAATATTTTAAACAGCATTAAACCAGCCAACCAAAAGTTATTCAACTTGCCTCCAATACAAACACAGAATTATGAGAAAAAGTTGAAATTGATCTTTCTGTGGCAAAAAAATAGTTACGTGTTAATCAGCAACTGGAACATCACCCAAATCACCTTTGGAGTGGAAAAACCTGAGGTTTCATTAGTAGATGTAACATGGGCAGTTATGCTTTGAAGTGTCAATATTTAATACCTGTCTAAAATCACTGATAATTAAATAAAAAGTAATTAGTATTTAAAAAATAAATTTTCTAAGCTATTTTAAGAATATATCAATTGGAATACAGTGAAAATCAATTTGATGCATTCAAGCTGCCCACTGAACGAAGCAAAGCAAAACCTGGTTTGAAACCACACTTAAAATTTGTGTGATACCTGTAACTTTGCTAGTGTGTTTTCCCATTTCACTTTAGGCTGATATTTTGATTAATATTAATGGAGAAAAATATACCAGTTATTCATGAAAGAATATTTACTTTCTTGTTGATTTTGCTTTATTGTCAGAGGTCATAATTTACATGAGTTTTACAGAGCAGCAACTCTTGAAGAACTTGTATTAAGACTCCAGTGATTTAGCCTACTCTAGCACAATTTAAGAAGCTAAATGTAGATGAGGCAACCGAACCCCAGAATGTTATTTAACTGTTCCCTAAAGTGTTAGATTTAACCCAATTTGAGCTTCATTAGGAACCATTTTCACATTTTAATTTCCCTTTTTCCCCCCCCCGACTTGTATTTAATTTTAGCAAAGCTCCAAGGTCCTAATCTCCATGTATGATAACCAAGAAAAGTTATCTTCCATGCCACTTTCATAGTTTTTCAGAGGAAGATATAAAACCACACAAATCACTTTTCACTCAGATTTATCTAATATGGCTGAAATATCTTGTAAATAACCAGATCTTTCTCCAACTAGGAAATAATGAAATAAATTGGTTTGTTAAACCACAGCAATATGGCAGGCAGACCTAATTAAACTGGAGATGCTGAGTCCATCACACAGGGGACATCAGCATTATAACTTGGACTTCAATGGCTCCAATGGGGGAAAAAAAAGTTTTTGTTTCTAATTAGTTCTCTCTCCTCATTATTTATATTCCTTCTCTTTCTACTCTGCTTGTCAGTACAACTCTTTTATCAGACAGTCAACTGAGTGTGGATGTTTCAGTAGTTCCTGGTGTTCTCATTTGTCTTCTCCCATTTATATCCATTACAATTTACACTTGTTGTCTTTTGACCTGCAGATGCTGCATCCTTTTCATTAGCGCCTCATCAGTCTTTCCCTTTTTCCAATCCAAGGCTGAGGTTTGGTTTGTCAAGTAAAACTCAAGATGAACAGTAGGGCAAAAAAAATAACAGAAGGAAAAAAAAAGGGGGGAGGGGGGGAAATTTGTACTCCTTTCCTGAAAGGACATGTTCTTTCTGGTAAACTCACCTACTACTGATACATTGTTAAATCTATCTTAAATTAAAAAAAGGAAAGACTGCTAAGGGCACTTGCGATTGTGTTATGTTCCCTTTTGCCTTTAAAGTAGCCACAAGAGAACAATGAAAGCTACAACACCCACCAGTTACAGAAACAGATGAAATCTTAGTTATGCACAGCTTTCTCTGCTCCAGTTTCGTACCTTCCAAGTTTTCCTTGGTTTTTATTTGTAATTCGCATCTTGTTTTCATCTTTCGTAAATGAATTAACCACTATCCCCCCAAATGGCAATTTTGATTAACTTGGACAGCTCACCAGATAATGGACAAGAATAAAAATTAATTCAAACTAATACTGGGCCTTGCAAAGCCATTAGTGGCAAATGACGAATATCAAATCTCGGCTTCAGCAAATGGATTTTCCTTAGTTAGATCCTAATTTGTGGGGACACATGCCTATTATGCTTGAAATTGGAAAGCATCAGATTATCAGAGAAATATACTGCCCAAAGGACTTAGACAATTGCATCAGAAACAAGCTGGCTAGCATAAAACAGCAGATTATAAATTTTTTAGGACCACCCTCTGAGCCTGCAAGATAATGTACTTAGGTTCCTTCAGACATACATTATTGAAACTGCTTTATTTGTGATCCAAATAACCATAAAAAAAAAATTACAACCACAACAAAAAAAATCTTCTGAGCCTACTAAATTGATTTACATTTTTATTTGGTGGGGCTTTCTCACCACCTTTGAGAAGAATGTGACATCTATGATACTGCAGACACAAAGTAATACTGATAAAAAGGAAGCATCTGTAAGAATATTGCCATGCTGCTGTGATTAACTTCTCAACTAGATGAGTAAGTGTATAAGTAATACAAGTTGATTAACTTTACTAGTGTGTTCTCTTTTCTCTGTGAGGTCTGTTTTCAATTTTCCCCATCTATATTAGAAATCCGATGCAACAACCATCAAAAAACAACTCACCAGATCACACCTACACAAGCTCTCATCTTTCAGATTACCCACACTTCACACTCACTTTAAAGTCTATTTCTAATTATTAGAGACATAATCCTAAAATTATTGTGAAATGGTTTGTGTTAATTGCTCTACTAACTAGAGATAATACTTGGTAAATACAAGCTTCTTCAGGTAGCAGAACAAAAGACAAACTCTGTCAGTTAATTCATTATTCCAAATCATTAGACAAAGTGTGTGTTTAATCTTCTTCTCCTTTCTTCAACAATTACCACAGTGATGAGTAACACAGTAGAACCTTTTCATACTAAGTGATTTTGGTCAGTAATTAACTGCACATCTAAATGGACAATACAACGACTAGCATGACTGTTAGGTAACATTTAAGTAATTAAAAGTATATGTATAATGAAAGCCTTGCAATTACACAAAAAAATTTGGGTAATTACATGGTGCAATAATAAGTTATGAATTTAAACCTACTGCTTTGGCATGTACCTTCTCAGGTTATACTTGCAATTGCCAGAAGCATAATTTAGGTGTCTAGATGAAGACAGATAGGAAGGAATCTCATATCTCCACAGCAACAGGAAGTCTGACATTTTAAGTTGAGAGTAACTTTTGCAGTCCTTGAATTGCATGCAGAGAGAAAGTATTTTTTACATAAAGGTAGGTTTAAACTTCTGTTACTTGTTCTTCCTGTAATTTTTTACACTGACAAAAAAAAGAGATAATTATTTTGAATGCAATAATCTACCTTCAAGGAAAGGCAGTGCCACTCATAAGCTAAAATTTTCTTTATGTTGGGCTCTTACCAAGTTCCACATCCTGATCATCAGTAAGAACAAGGATGATGTTTGGGCGGATGTTTCTACGGTCTCTTTGAAATCTTCCCTTCAGACGCTGATTTAACAGGAAAGCTGAACTTCCATCCAACAGTGATAAAACAGTCATGATGAATAATCCAAGGACAATACTATGCTGTGCCATGTTGTGCTGATTTAGTGATCCTTCTGAACAAGGTAGGTTAATGGATTCTATTTCTTTTGTGTTTGCAGGTCTCCTATAAGAGAGAAGGGGGATAAAAGTATTTATTTATACCTTAACACTGGCCTCCCCAAGGAACAGCAAGATTCTCTCCAAAGAAATAAAAAGCAGTATACTTGAAATGATCTAACTCTTAAGAAAAAAAAAGCAACAACAAAGCAACTGAATGTTTTCCTAGTGCCACCTAGAAGCAGAAACTTGAAAAATTCACAGTTCATAAGATGTGACCAACACAGGCAATGAAGTTTCACTCTGTGTTCAAATTTGGCAGCAAGTTCAAAGAATTAGCAGGGTATCAAACTGGCTTTGATATACATAAAAAGCAATCTTCTTCCTTAAGGTTCTGATATGTTTTGAGATGACATTTTTGTTTACAGCATAAAAAATGCTGATGTTGAAGAAAAAACTCACATCTATCCATATTTTTAAACAGGACTGGGATAAAATTTACTCAGTTAACAATACATTTTCAAACTCATAGAGGATCCTCAGATAGATGACTTGTAAGATGAATCAGTATATAACAAATTTCATTAGAGATCAGAGCTGCCCAGATCTTGGAAATATGGTATGATATTGTTTGAAGTCTATTGCAGCTTTGATGTTAGGACGATATCCCTTCAGCACTTCTGTTGGTTTCCAAGATTATTTTTTTAAATATCATTATTATTAACGAGCACATTTGAAGGCCCATTACTGCAAATGGTTGGGAATGGATGCACCAAAATTATTTGCACTGCCTATCACTTCTCTCCATCATAAATGCAATGCCCCCAAAATTGTCTTGTTTGCAAAACAAAGCACATCTAACTTGTATTGTTCCTGTTAATGAGCCAAAATAAGTTCTTAGATAATCCTACAGGGAGAATCCAAAAAATTATTAAGTCTGCTGAAGAATTTCTGAAATAATAATTTTGCTCAGAGATTTTCTGGTATAAATAAGATTGCTTCTTGCTTTTGGAAATTAAAACAACAGTATGAAACTGCATTGAAAATATCAAGTACTAATTATTTCATCAGATCTAGTGATCAATGAGTCAGTTTCTGATGAATTCCCTACTTGCTGCCTGTCTTTTCCTGGACCGGTGCCAATGATCTCTGTAACGCAGAGAAAAATCAATTAAAAATGACACAAGGGAGACTATCTGCTTTTTGTAAAGACCAGAAATGCATGAGTAGAAAGAACCTAGCACAGTGTGGTTTACCCAAAGAAATACACTGGCTATTCAGTCCCTAAAGCCACTTGGGAAAACAGTTTTTCCTACAGCAGATTATTTCATAGCCACATTGTTACTTCATCTCTGTCAGCATCTGCTCTTTGAGATAAACTTTGATTAAGAAAGTTCTCTTTGCAATGGCAAAACCACTGGTCTGAAAAATTATACTTAGATTCTATGCTTACTTAAGAAGTACATACTGAATTCTCATACAAGTCAACAGATATGTAGCTACAGTATGATGCAATAAATTATTAAGGCTGCTTTCCAAAGATGTACACTAATAGGGTTTTGAGGAAATTAAAAATCCTTCTTCCTCAGTAGTCTCTCCAGTGAGTTTCACAAGTAGGTGAAACTAACTTCTTTCACAGAAAATAAAACATTTTAAATATCCTAGCACTTGATCCAATGGGCAGGGAAAATTAATTCAACTTCCTAAGTTTACAGATTGAGCTTTAGTACTTGTACTGCTGCTCAGAGACTTGCAAGGCTATAGTAGAAGGAACATTGACAAGACCTATCAATTGTCATTCCTTGTACTCAGAATCCCACTGACAGCACTATAACTGGGAAGAATCATGTCAGAGTCAATGTGTTGTTACTGTACAGAGCAGTCAAAAGCAGCTTGAAAGGCAAACCTGGATCTGTTTCAAAAGAGAAGGGAAAAAAAAAAGTTAGTTTAGCAGGCACACATCCCTGGACACCAGCTTTATGGGGGATGGGGTAGAGAAACGGCTTCTGCTCTTCAGAAATTACTCTATATGTACTTCTGTTTAAAAACAAACAGAACTGACAACATCTATGTTTTCATTATATAGAAACATTTTTCTGAAGATCTAAAAGTTAATGTGTTTTTTTTCTGCTCGATACTAGACAACAGCTTCTCGAAATAATGTACAGCATTTGTTGACTTTTCTTGCAGCCTTTAGCAAGGTGATCATTCTTCTATCTGCTCATAACTACATGCACTGTATTCCACATGGAACTCTTCCTCGCACTCTTCTCACTTCTTTCAAACAAATGAATGGAAGTAACCTCATGACCTCATTGCCTGTCTCCCCTCAGCCTGCTTTTTCCTCACAGTTTATTGTCCCTCACTCACTACACTGTATCTAAAAATAGAAGTTGTCCCCAGCTAAGAAAGCTGCTCATCTATCTACAAAATACTTAACACATTTGGGGATGTACAACAACTGTTATTTCACAGATATTTTATCCATTTAACTATTTTTGTATATTTATGATTAAAAGAATTAGCTGTGGGTGAAGGAGAGAATTCCATGTCAAGCACCACAGGCATCTTCTACCAAACCTGTTATCTCTTTTTCAACGCCCTCTTCAATTAAGATTTTTCAACTATTCTGATGTGTTATGTTCCTATTATTATCACAGTAAGCACTGCTGGGAACCAACCCAAAGTATGTAATTATGTGCAAAAACTCCTACCTATAACTAGGTAAAGAAATTAAAGCAATTTTGGAAGATAACCTATTTCTTGAAATATGTATTCATGAAAGACAGACATGCCACAACTAACAGCATATATGCAGTAACATCTAGAAGCCAGCTTTAAATAGTTCTCAGAATAGTAACAGAAGTGTCTCTCGCATGGATTGCCAGTGGTCAAATATAGATTGATTTATTTTTTTTTAACCCCGGGTGCTGGGTGAACTTCAGGGAAGAAATATGACAGAGTCTCTATTCTTTCCCCATTTCTGTCAACAAGTTTAATCTGCAACTCATAGATAAAGCCTAAAGAGTTCCACAGCAGTGCCCCAATCTGCCTTCACTTTTAATATAGCACCCCCTCCAATGATGCATTTTGCTGAGTGGTACAGATGGCCTACTGCATTATGTGCCTCTGCAGGCCATCCTCCAATATTCAAGATGCTTAATCTGTAGTTACTCTCATGAGGATTAGGTATGTCTCTTATTTTCTCCCAGATTACACCTATGAACTTGACAAGTCTAATCACTCCTCTTTTATTTTTAGAAATTCATGAAAAGTTCTTCAGCTGGGGCATGTAGCTGAGCTTTATTAAGCCTATGAAGCCTCCTAGCAAGCTACTTGAAAAAAGGTCTGGTCCTCATATTTTCTATGGTTACAATTGAGTTTAACAAATCCCTGACTCCCTTCATAGCCTGAATTAGATACAGCTGCCTCTTTTTGTTCTTAACTCCTGCTAGTATGGGGAATGCGAATAGAGCCAAACTTATTTCTCCTGTGTGGCAGCACAGAACATTACACTAAGTCACATTATAAATGTTGAAGAGATAAAACCAGGCTTCAGTACATTTATTCTATTCATAAAATAATGGAAAGTAGCATTTACACCAAGTCTTCTTTTTAATACTGCCCTCAGTAATTAACATCAGTTCCACTGCAACACAGGCAGGATGCACAGGGATGACCAGTGTCAGTTCTACCCCCAGATGGCATTTTTAACGTGTTATTGATTAGCATTGCTTGGCACAGATGTGACAGACACTGCGTGCAAAACTAGTGACAGTACTTTGCACGCACTTGCTAATGCAAGCCCTAGCACAACTGTCCCATACATAAACCCAGTACCAATTTCACTGAAATAAAATAATTCAGTTATTCTAATATGATAAAAAATATCTGACTCTTCCTGTAACAGAAAAGGTACAAATATAATAAATTAATTGTGGTATCAAATATATAAGCTAATCCTGCTTGGAGCCTACTTCTAGAAAACTGTTTCTAGTTATATACACATAAACTGATTTAAAAAAAATAACAAGCACACTGCAAACCACTAAACACAGAATTGTTTTGAATAGCAAGTTCAGCTCACCCAGCAGCCACCACACAACAGTATAACAGCATATAAGTCTCACAGTAGAATTGCAAAATAAGGCAAAAGTGGTTAGGGAGAAGGACTGCACACCTGCTCCAAATATGGCTGAGCCAATACCAGGTGTATTATTTAAGCAGACTTAGGTGTGTCATTTGTCCAATGTTTAAATTCATTGAAATACATGGTGCTGGATCAATTTCCTAGCAACCAACCCAATTAAAGTCACTTTGCCAGTTAAATGGATTCAGCAGTGCTGCTATTCTTTTAACTCTTGAGTCACTCCTACACGTCCAGGTTTGGTTACGTTAACTCCTTTTTCACTGAAGTTGTCAACCACCATTGGAAATCATTATACTTTTTAAGAAATAAACACACCTTTGTACGTGGGTTAGGAAGAAAATTGTATGCAATCAAATGAGACTCCTAGGGGAAGTCTGGTATCAACATTACTGCTGCAATCTAACAACATGCTGTGTTTTCTTAATAGTTTTATACTTCCTAACATTTTTTCCCCAGACAATCAAAAATTGAAGAGAAAGTCTAAAGCTAAGCCCCAGTGCTAAAAGTGACTCTCAAAGATCATAGCTGCGCTGATTTACCTACACAAACTATAGCTGAAGTATTTTTATTTTCAAGTATCTACCATTTCTTCACAAGTCAGGAATAGAACTTCCAGACTTATTAGAGCACTAAATTACTATTCAGATGTGCTCTTCCGACTCGCTTTCCTTATGCTGGTGAACTCTACACCAAACCTAAATATTTATCACTGGGAAGCCTATTTGCATTACACAATCTCTTCCCTAGTCTGTAGCTTTATATTAAGTAAAACTAAATTATAAAGCAGTCATAATTTTGTCTACGACTTAATATTATCAACAGTATTTTAAGAAACACAATATACTTTTCATCAATCTATACTAGCTTTCATTGTTTGCATACCATTATTAG